ATTTTAGCTTAAGTTCACCTGAGTAGCTCTCCTACTTGAAACCAAAATGGTCCTAAGGAGAATAGACTCTGCAGAGACAAGTGGCCTAGGAAATTTCCTGTGTGAGGATTAGAACTACCTTTTGGAGGAAGAAACTGAGCCCAGAGAGAAATTAGGACTTGCTCAGGGGCAAACAATGAGTCGTGGTCTTCAGAACTGAGTCACAAATTCAGGTCCACAAGAGTCCATACATGGAAGGCCCTGAAGGTAGGGTCCCTGTGTGGACTGTCTGGGCCCCTCAGGGCTGAACACAGAGGTCCTCAGAGTGGCTGTAGATCTGTGATTAAGAGCTTTCTCATCAGCACTGGATTGGGGCAGGGAAGGGGGAGGGTGGTTGGCTGTACATCTAGCCAGAATACATCAGATAATCTGAAGTGGTTTGGGGAGGGAATCAGACTGGTTGTGCAGCTGAGGCCAGATACCCCAATGCCAAAATCACTGCTTTTGGCCTTGTCCCAGGAGAGTAGATGTGTCCAGGGAGTTTTCATGGATGGAGAGGGCTGTGGGGAAGGAAGCACAGCAGGTACTGAGGACTGAGGTCACAATGAGTCCAATCCAAGTTCTTTTCCTTCCTTCTCTGACCACCCCGTTCCACCAACACAACCAGGAAAGACTTAAGGCCAGGAGAGAGGTGCCAGGAGACCGCCTGGGGCTCAAGGACTGGGCTGGACTCCTGGGTCCCCACGGGAGGATATATGTCCCCAGAACATTGCCACAAGGCCCCTTCATTGTTAAGAGTTATGCTGCTCCGGGCAGCTTCTCCTTATTTAGGATTTGATGCGGCCCTCTCATCATCCACCTCCGCCAGGGCCGAATGAGTGGGCCGCGCAGCGGAGGTGAGTCCTCAGGCGGGTCTGGTGCAAGGTGGAGTCTTGAGTCTGGAGCCACAGGAGGGCAAAGAAGGTCTGAAGCGCGGAAGCCCGCTGAGAGCGGGAGACTGGCCCTTGAGCCGGGGGCGGGGCCTCGGGCCCGTGGGCGGAGCCAAGAGCTGAAAAGGGACGTCCAGTCTGACGGGAAGAGTGGGAGCTCCAGACCAGAGGCTGCAGCCAAGAATTGAGAGCCCTAGTTCTGTGGCCAGAAAGGCCGGGACTTAGGCCTGGGGCCAGAGCCAAGAGCTGAAAGGCGGGCGGAGCCTCAGGCACGCGGCGGGGCGGAGCCCAGAAAGCCACGGTGGCATCGGTGTCTGGAAGCAGGCGGGTCCGTCGGCCGCCCTCGCTGGGCCGCGTGGCGGTGGTCATAGACCAGGGCTCGGGCTTCATCAAGGCGGGCTTCGCGGGCGAGCACCAGCCGCGCCTGGTGCTGAAGAGCTCCAGCCTGGTGCCCAGCTGGGACCGGCCGGTGCCGCCGGGGGCACTGGGCGGCGAGCTGATGGGTGGCGTGGCGCGGGCGCACCCCATCAAGCACGGCGTGGTGGTGGACTGGGAGGCGCTGGAGGGGCTGTGGGAGCGCCTGCTGGTGGGCGGCCTGCGGGTGTGCCCGGAGCAGTGGCCCGTGCTAGTGAGTGATTCGCCGTCGGCGCCGCCAGCGGGCCGCGACAGGATAGCCGAGCTGCTGTTCGAGACCTTGGCAGTGCCCGCGTGCCACATGGCCAGCACAGCGTTGTTGGCGCTCTGCTCCACTGGCGCGTTCAGCGGGCTGGCCGTGGAGGCAGGCGCGGGCGTGTGCCACGCCACGCCCATCTATGCGGGCCACGCGCGGCACGAGGCCACGTTCCGGCTGGACGTGGCAGGCAGCACCCTATCACGCTACCTGCGGGACCTGCTGGTGGCAGCATGCCCCCACCTACAGCTGCAGGCCCTGCCCCGCAAGGCCATCACACAGCTCAAGAAACGCTACTGCTATGTGTCACTGGACTTTGAGGGGGACCTTCGTAACCCTGACCGCCACCATCCGGTCAGTTTCTGCTTAGGCAATGGGTGCTCCGTCTGTCTCAGCAGCGAGCGCTTCCGCTGCCCAGAACCCATCTTCCAGCCGAGTCTGCTAGGCCAGGCCAGGCCGGGCCTGCCCGCACTGGTCTTCCGGGCACTGCAGAAGGTTCCCGCAACGCTCCGGAAGCGGCTGGCTGACACCGTGGTGCTGGCCGGTGGCTCCACACTCTTCCCTGGCTTCACCAAGCGCCTGGAAATGGAGCTGGAGGCGCAGTGCCGGAGGCACGGTTACGGGGCGCTGAGGCCGTGCCTGGTGGCGGCGCCTGGGCGTGGCACAGCAGTATGGACAGGCGGCTCCATGGTGGCCTCGCTGCGCTCCTTCCAGTGCCGCTGGATAACTCGGGCCATGTACCAGGAGTGTGGCTCCCGGCTGGTGCACGAAGTGTTCGACTGAGTCACGCTGTACTGGAGAGGAGGCGCCACCGGGGGGGCTGCGGAGGGGGAGGCTCGGTGGGCTGAGCTATACTCCGTCGGAGGCACTGAGTTCCAGATAAAAGTCTCAAGTGATCAGAGCTGGCAGAGTCTTCATGTGCCGATGGGTGGCCCCTAACTCTTCCTGAGCCAGGAGGAGGTGGTCTGGACCTCTAGGACCCTCACTTCGACCTGCAGTTTGAATCTACCCTAACCAGTGCCAGTTCAGAGAATACCAGTCCAGGTGCCTACCCCCAGGGCCGTTTCCATGGCAACAAGGAATGCAACACCTGCACTTGTGTTCAGGCCACAGATATGGAAATAGTTACAACACGTCAACCCCTCACCCAGTACTGCTTGGATTCCCATCCTATGCAAAGCTTCCAGGGGTGACCCTTTGAAAACGTCAAAATCGCATGTGGAAGCAGCCAGAAAAGGAAGCCCTGTCCTCAGCTGATCATTGACTCACTGAGGGCCTCAGTTTCCCCTTCTGTAAAAAGTGAGGTCAGGCACAATCCTGGGCCGCCTCCCTGTTCCCTCCTTGCCTCGTTATTAAGAGCTATGGGACAAAGCGGGGTGGAGACATTTCTTAAAAGAAACACACAAAGGGAGGTGTGGCTTGTGTTTTCGAAGTCACTATCCAAGAGCCTAGAGCCCTGGCTGTGAGCACTGTTTGTGCTTATACGCACAGGTGGCCACACGTGCATACAAACACTTGGGGGAACACATACCAGCTTTACCCATGTCCTTGGGCCAGGCCCTGCCCCCCACCCCCAAGTTCCACACACCAGCGTGGGCCTGTGGCGGTGTGTGAGCATGCCCCACCTCCCACCCCATCCCT